ATGCATTGATCACTTTGAATTCAGAAAACAGGCATACTACTGTAACAGTGAATACAACAGTGCCTCCATGCATTGATCACTTTGAATTCAGAAAACAGGCATACTACTGTAACAGTAAATACAACAGTGCCTCCATGCATTGATCACTTTGAATTCACAAAACAGGCATACTACTGTAACAGTAAATACAACAGTGCCTCCATGCATTGATCACTTTGAATTCACAAAACTGGAATACTACTGTAACAGTGAATACAACAGTGCCTCCATGCATTGATCACTTTGAATTTACAAAACAGACATACTACTCTAACAGTGAATACAACAGTGCCTCCATGCATTGATCACTTTGAATTTACAAAACAGGCATACTACTGTAACAGTAAATACAACAGTGCCTTCATGCATTGATCACTTTGAATTCACAAAACAGCGTAACCTACAAATTTGACAATTATTATCATTATTACCTTATATTTTTCAATGAGTTGCAAGAAATGTTGAGGTTCAAATTTTGGCATCGTGACTAGTTTAGCTCCTTGACTTAATGCATTGGCAAGAACAGCAACCATTCCATAGGAGTGATAGAATGGTAAAACACATAGCATAACATCATCAACTGACAAATCAAGTATGCCTGGGGTTCTGAAAATTAAATAAACTTGCGTTATTGTCATAATGACATGAAGGACAAATATCCTGGTTTAAAAATCTCAAACATTTTTTGTTCCGCAATTTGTTCAATAGCGACCGAGTATCGGGTATTGGTTCCTTGCATGCGACTTACATACCACTATAGGCACAGCTATAAGTTACAGCGTGCCGCAGTTTTGCGGTATTTCATGGGGTATGTTCATCCTACCATATAAGGAAATGCAAATTCTAAATAATAAATAATAAAAACAAACATGGCTGCCACCAGGGTTTGACCGGACTCCATACAAAAACGTTTGCTGATTCTGTTCCAAACTTTTTGGACTTGCGCATTCCCATGATGGATCCTTAGACGGAAAAGATGTATAACAAGCTGCCTGTCGGCTGAGATAGCTCCGCTGTTAACAATGCACAATGCAATTAAAAAACTGAAGATATCATTAGAAAATTAACAATATGTATAGTATCAAAACAATCAGACAATTGTTTTCAACAAGAATTAAAAAATATCACTTTTCACCAAAAATATTCATCAAAATTAGAGAATTGAAGATAGCACCACGAAAGGAACAAATCTGAGAGAGGTCCACATGTAGTACCTATATATGTAATATCAAAGCAATTGGACTTGCGGTTTTTAACAAGAAGTCAAAATTATCCCTTTTTACCAAAAATTACCAAAATATTCACCAAAAATAGAGAATTTGAGATATAATGTCATATTATGTACTGAATGTTTTATTACAAGGCATAATATCAGGCATTAAATCGGTACGACTAACCTCATCTGATGGAGATTGCAAACCATGTTTCTATGTGTCAACATCACACCTTTCGGTAAACCAGTTGTACCGCTTGAATACGGTAAAGCAACGACATCTTCCGCTGGGTTAATTCGAACATTGATAGGAAACGCTGATCCGTCATCCTCCATTAAGTCAGCGACAAAAGATCGACATCCTTCCATGGATTCATCACCAATCACATACAAAGCCTAAAATAATGAGAAATTTATAACAAAACTGATCAGTCATCATGACATGAAACAGTTTCCAATGTAAGATAAAATTACTTGGGGAAAATTTTGTGTTTCATCATTGTAAAAGTCTCTATATCTGAATGATGACATGTTTCGTAAAACTATGAATAGTTTTATTTTCTTAAGCTGGCATAGTATGGCTAATGAAAATTGTAATTTTGATAACTTTTGAGGGGGGTGTTCAACTGAGCACTCATTGGTTGAGTACATTATATAGGAGACCAGGGGAGGTTTTGGCTTATTTTCCATCTACAAATGTCCTTAATGATTCACTAGCCACATGTTTTTTAAATTCTATGTATGAAACACAATTTAGCTGCCGACTTTCTTGATTGAGCCATTTGGTTAAAATCTTGGAAAATAACTGTGAGAGTACATTTATACTCATGTCCCATATAGTATGGAGTTTACATAATGTAAATACAATTACAAAATGTATACTAGAAATGCTATCAATTCCAGGGTCTGGATCTTCCAGTTATGTTTATACCAAATCCATTCATTAGATCCATGATTTTCTAAAAATGTTGAAATACTTTACCATTTTTTTTTACTAGAAAAACTACGAGCCAGTCATCTTGGAACAACTTGAAATGAATTCATGTCAATAGTTGTGACATGATGACATATGTGTATTAAGATGGAACGATATCAGTGTGGACATGTAGCGGGATGGAAACTGAACAGCAATTTTAAACAAGCAGCCTCTCGACTGAGATAGCCCTGCTGTTATCAATGCACCTTTCAATTAAAGAACAGAAGATATCATTAGAAAATGAACAATACACACTGTATGTATAGTATCAAAATTAGAGAATTGAAGATATCATCATGAAATGAACAAATCTAAGAGAGGTCTACCCAAGGTACATATAGACCAAGTATCAAAGCATTCAGGCTTGTAGTTTTCAAGAAGAAGTCGAAAAAGTAAAACATTGACACGGACGACGACGAACAATCACTCATATGATAAGCTCTGCTCGACAAAGTCGACAGCGGAGCTAAAAAAATGGCCATTTTGAACCTGACCTGTATCGCTAAATTACATGTAGTAAAAATACACCAGATGGCATTCTGTTAGTGTATACTTACCTTAATCCCAGACACCCTGTGCTGCCTATCTGGTCTTATCAGGCAACTCAGATGGCATTCTGTTGATATATACTTACCTTAATCCCAGACACCCTTTGTGCTGCCTGTCTGGCCTTACCAACCAACTCAGATGGCATTTTGTTGGTATATACTTACCTTAATCCCAGACACCCTTTGTGCTGCCTGTCTGGCCTTATCAGCTAACCCAGATGACATTATGATGATGTATACTTACCTTAATCCCAGCCACCCTCTGTGCTGCCTGTCTGGCCTTACCAGCCAACTCAGATGGCATTCTGTTGATATATACTTACCTTAATCCCAGACACCCTTTGTGCTGCCTGTCTGGCCTTACCAGCCAACTCAGATGGCATTCTGTTGATATATACTTACCTTAATCCCAGACACCCTTTGTGCTGCCTGTCTGGCCTTACCAACCAACTCAGATGGCATTTTGTTGGTATATACTTACCTTAATCCCAGACACCCTTTGTGCTGCCTGTCTGGCCTTATCAGCTAACCCAGATGACATTATGATGATGTATACTTACCTTAATCCCAGCCACCCTCTGTGCTGCCTGTCTAGCCTTACCAGCCAACTCAGATGGCATTCTGTTGATGTATACTTACCGTAATCCTGGACATCTTCAGTACTGCCTGTCTGGCCTTACCAGCCAAATCAGATGACATTATGATGATGTATACTTACCTTGATCTCAGACACCCTCTGTGCTGCCTGTCTGGCCTTACCAGCCAACTCAGATGGCATTTTGTTGATATACATGTATACTTACCTTAATCCCAGACACCCTTTGTGCTGCCTGTCTGGCCTTACCAGCCAAATCAGATGACATTATGATGATGTATACTTACCTTAATCCCAGACACCCTCTGTGCTGCCTGTCTGGTCTTATCAGGCAACTTAGATGGCATTCTCTTGATATATACTTACCTTAATCCCAGAGACCCTTTGTGCTGCTTGTCTGGCCTTACCAGCCAACTCAGATGGCATTCTGTTAATATATACTTACCTTAATCCCAGACACCCTCTGTGCTGCCTGTCTGGTCTTATCAGGCAACTCAGATGGCATTCTGTTGATATATACTTACCTTAATCCCAGACACCCTTTGTGCTGCCTGTCTGGCCTTACCAGCCAACTCAGATGTTGTTATCATCCATTGAGCACCGGAATGTTTAAGTTGAGTAGTTAGTTCATCTGAAATAAAGCGAAGAAACACAACATATTAAAAATGCACGTCACTTTTTATGTAATGACTCTTCGTGAACGTTATAATCAGGAAAAATTAAAAAGTGCTTTACAGAGTCATCATACAGCACGTGTTTTAATTTTATGGAGACAAACAATGCTTTTACACACTTTGTATACATTGTCTATGGGTCCCA